GCAGGAAGCTGAGGCACAGAGAGGGAACGCAACCTCCTCGCTGTCCCACGTGGACGCTGCGCCCACAGAGCCCCCCCGCCACCTGCGTTATAAAGTGTCAGCTGCCAGGCGCTCTGTGCAGGCCCAGAACCCGAAGCCGACTGAGGTGGATCTACAGCTGGAAGCTCAATGAGGGGCTGTGCTGAGCTCAGTGGGGACACCGAGCGGCCAGTTAAGCTGATGAGATCAAGACGGGAGGCGGCCCAAGCGTGGGGAGAGAGTGGTTGCCTGGGTTTTCTTATCGACCTGCCCTCTCTCTTTTGCCAGCGCAGAACACCCCACGGCTGACGGAGAGAGCCTGCCTCACTGCATACACCAAGCAACGTAGACGAAACCCAAAAAGAGGTAGCAAAGTACAGGAGAATTTTCAAATGGGAGCATAACAAGGCTGCAGTCCCCCGGGAAGGGTGCTGGGGCCCCTGGGAGAGCATGCAAATCCCCATCCCCCTCCTTCCCGCCCCAACCTGGAGCTCCAGCCTCACAGACCCAGAGCATCCCCGGGGTGTCCCCCAGGGGGCCCCCTTACGAAGTGGCGGGGGTCCGGCCCTTAAAAGAGCAGGAAATGGTATCTGTGAGGATGGGCTTCAGGTTGTCAAGTTTTCTTTTATTCAAGTTAAGGAAACACACAGCTGGAAAACAAAAGGAGAGGCAGAAGATATAAATTACCTTTAACTTTGATTTCTCGGATCAAAGATCACAGTCATTCTGTTTCATAATATGTTTTGTATCCAGCTAAGGGGTGTGTCTATCAGCTCTGAAAGAGATTTGCAAAACCATTTTTGAGAAGAAGATAAAACGTCATCTTCGACCTCTACTATGCTTGCAACCCATGCTCATATCAGCCATTTAATGAGTATCTCATGAAAATCAGGGCCACGTGGGACCCAGGACAGAACGGAACCCTCTGCCCAAATCCGGTGTCATCTTAACATGGGTGCCAGAATTAACCCCAAACCAGGGCGACCGTCACTGACATGAGGGACTTTGTGGAAAGAAGTGGGGAGATCGGAGTGCAGCAGCAGATTGTGGCGATGTTTTGGTCTGATGGTTTAAGCGAGACAAAACAACCGCGCTGCTGCTTATACCATGGAGCTTCAAACCATGGCCAACAAATGCGATGCAATTTTAGAAGCTAGCTCTGCTGCAAAGAATGTCAGAATTTCATGAGGGATTGACTCCCATGCAATCCTCCTTCAGGCTTTAATAGGTGCTAAAGTGGACTCCTGTTTTGTTCTTAGTGGTGATACAACCTCAGTGGGCATGCAAATTCCTAAGAATTCAGATTTTCTTCTTGTTGCTTTGGTCGGCAATTTTTTAAAAAAGCGACTTATTTTTACAGCCCCGCCCAATCAGAGCACCGAAGGCCCTTAAAAAGGAGCTGCGAGCAGTCGACTTTACAAACCATTCCATTATGTCACATTTTCACTTTAAAACCACAATAAACTGCCCTCTATAGCTGTGTAACGCCTACAGCTTTCCAAACGTGTATTCGCTCCAGCCCCTTTCAATGGCCAAAGGACACGGCCAGGGTCCATTTTGACTCCCTGGTTGAGAAATAGTTTGAGATGCACTTCCCCCGGGAAGTGACCCAGCCGTTGCTAGATGCAGGTTCACTAGCGTCATGAGCTAAACCCGGTGCTCTCTCAAGGAGAGGCGCTCGGTGAGATTTGAAGCTCCCCTGCGAGCATTGCGCACTCAGCTCTTTTCTGCAGGGAGAGAGACCTGAACTCCCAGATGCTGGGCTCCTATAGGTTTGTTCGGGGTTCATCACAGGCAGCTGCAGCCCAGGACAAAATAACCATCTCCCTGCCCGCCCTCCTCCGTAGCTGCTATAAACACAGTTTGGACCAGGCATCTCAGGCCGTCTCCTGAAGCACAAAGACCCACTCGCCAAAATTCCAGGTGCGTGTGGCCCTAGGGCAGCTTGCTCAATGTCCTTCCCTACCTCAGCTACACACTGGCTTGTCCCAAACCCATCGCAGGGCCTTAAAATATCACCTATATCCTGACAATGGCCAAATCCATGTTTTCTAGCCCAGACCTCACACCTGAACTTCAGATTTAGACACCTAACTGCCCACAGGGCCTCTCAAATATAGCCCAAACGAAACTCCCGACTCACTCCCACCTCCAGGCCCCCCTCTAGAAAATAGCCCTGCTCTACTTACTTGTCCCCATTAGAGGAAACGTACTCCCTACTTCTGGTTGTTCAGGCCAATTTTGGTCACAGCCCACATCCCCTCCATATACAAATGCTTCTGGATCTGCCCTCAAAATGCATCCGGAAATGAAAACCACCTGTGTCCACCATCCCATGTCCACCATCACACGGGTGCCCATCTCCCCATCTCTGTCCAACAGCAGGTGGATCCCCCTGGAGCTTAAGGGAGAGCCTTTGACTCAGTTGTTACTCTGAGAAAATCAGCTCCATGGTGCTGTCCTGGCCAAGACATTCTCTCTTTGTCCATATGGACCCATTCAAGCAGCGCTGAGCAGGTACCAGGGGCCGGCACCTTCCAAGGTCACACCCTGAGAGCAGGGAGTGGAACCCAGGTGGAACCCCAGGGACCAGGCTCTCCACACAGCTGGCCAGTACCTGGGTGCTCTGAGGGGGCGTCTCAGAGGCTGGTCCCCAAGAAGCAGAGCCTGCACTACCTCCACTCCCCACCCCTCTGCACCGGAGTTCAGAGAATTTACAAAGCATCTAACCCATCCGTTTGTGGCCTTTTGGGGTACAGCTTCCTGTTTAGTCATGAAGTTTCACTCTTTAATTGTCTGTCTCTTGGTGGAAGACAAAGCAGCAAGAGCCAGAGAAAGGGCCCCTTTTAAGTCAACTAAGACCCAAAATTCAACTCGAATTTCAGCTCCAGACCCAGACCACCAACCCTCCTTCATAGGTGGGGTTGGTGGTGTGGTGCCCATTTCTCAGATCAACGTACTGAGGCAGAGAAAGATGGAGCGACTTGTCCATGAGCAGCCTCCTGGTACTGCAGAGCCGAGATCGGGTCCCAGCTCCACCACCCTCCAGTGTTTGAGTTACCGCATGCCCCCTGGGTGACAGCCACAAACCCTCCCTAAGGCAGAGAGGGAGGCCTCGGCCCTAGAATCACTGCCCCATTCAGTGGTGCTTCACGAAGCTGAAGACCTACAGAGTGAAGCTGCGTTTTTCCAAGCCCAGGCCTAAACCTTTGACTCGGGCAGCTAGTCTGGGAATTCATTTAGGAGACAGGTGGGAAGAGGCTCACTGATGAACCAACACTGATAACCAACCTGAAAGCCTAAGAAACACGGACCCGAGAACCTGTCACCTTGACCAATCCTACAGGCAGCCTGCAGCCGTGGAGAACACATGGATGCAGCTAGACGGAGAGGCCCGAGCGCACCTGTGTCACGGAGCGGATGGGAGTCAGAGACTCGTCTAAGGTGCATTCTGCTTGATGGTCCTACAGTGGAAACCAGTCCCCACCAGGACAGAGCGTGCGACCGTCTCTTCCCCGGCCCACTTCCTCCATAATCACACGGCGGCTTAGATCAAGGGAGGAACAATTTGGACTCTCTCCAAGCCCCGCTGCCCCGGGAGGAAGGACTGGCCAACTGTGTCAGCACAGACCGGAGCCGAGCCTCCCCCGCCGCCCAGGCCTTTTCTCCGATTCAGCAGAATTTCTTCTGATGACATGCAGCTACGCGGCATCCGTCCGGACAGGCAAGCACACAGCTCTCAGGCCGCGACCACAGGCAGGAAAGCATTCTACACACACCCCTGCTTCCTTGTTCTTCAGCCATCTCTCAGGCCTCGACCCCAAACCTCTGCCGGGAGGCCTCAGCCGCAAGCAAGTGCTGCAAAATAAGTTGCTCTTTTTTTTTTTTTTTAAACAAAGCAGAAACAAAAGAAAAGCACTTGTTACTACATCCAGTTGCCATTCTGGAAAGCAGCAGCGATCCAAACCCACAGAGTGGCCTGCGACCACAAATGAGATGAAAAAATAAATACCTAATTGTTTGGGAAGCCGTCTTTCTCTCTGGGGGTTGGAGGAACATTTGAGTTGACTTCTCCTTGCTGAGGCATGAAAGACGGCACTGAGGCGGGGAGGGCGGCGCGGCCGGCCAGGTGGGAGCTGGGGCCGCGGGAAGCACTTCTATCCTGAGCTGCTTCCCTCGCGCCACAGCGTCACTCACAGTGTCCTGGGGCCTCTAGGAGGAGCTCAGCCCCCACCTGCTCACAGGACTTTCCTCCGAAAACCACCCTGGCCCCTGACGCTTGGTAAAGGTCCACTGGACGTGGACTGAATCCTCCAGCCCAGCCTCCGCCGCACCTCCCATAAATTCACCTTCCAGATCATTCTGTGTCCCTCCACATGTGTCCCGACCAGCTCCAGGCGCAACCACACTCTTCCTAAGGCCACCATGGGCCCGTCCTGGAAGGAAGCATCCGATCGCCACCCTCCCTTTCCCAACACTGCCCATCTATGTATTGTCTTACGATTCCCCGGCTCCCCCGGCTTCCAGCCACGTCTGCCTCCCTCGAGGCCCTCGGGCATGAGCATTGATTGACCTGCAGACTGCCTGGGCATGCAGGCCTGTCCCCACATGTACTTGGCAATGCCTCACTACGGGGCCCAGCCCTGGAGAAGCCAGCCCACCCACCCACCTGCCTGCCTGGGGGAGAGGGAGGGAAAGGTCAAGTGTAGGGCCAAGCACCCTCCACCTTCCTGTTCAGCCAAGAGCCTGTGGGGAATCAGCAAGGTAAAGCCAGGTCCCCTGGGCCCCCCAGCCCACCTCTTCCAGGCTCACAGGCAAGAGAAGAGATTCCACCAGGCCTAACTAAGCAGGGACCAGGCCTCGTTGTAAGTTTCTCCAAGTGAGGTTCACAGGTCAGACCCTGACTCTTACTGCTCTCAACTCAGAGGCTGCCCTGAGTGACCAGCAAGGACTATAAGTGAGTGACATTACACCAGGTGTCCCTGAGACACAGTATATCTATCTCCCGGGTCATGCAGACAGAGCCTGAACTCCTGACTCGTCCCCTTGACCAAAACTTTCACCTGTACAGTCCCTGCTGTGGACCAAATTGTGTCCCCCAAGTTGCTGTTTACGCCCAAACCCCCAATGGGATGGTATTTGGAGACCGGGCCTTTGGAGGGGGATTAGGGTTAGATCCGGCCACAAGGATGGGGCCCTGCTGAGGGGATTAGTGCACTTCTACAAAGAGGCACCCGAGAGCTGGCTTTATCTCTGCCATGTGAGGGCACAGCGGGAAGGTGTCCATATGCAAAGGCCTCTCACCTGAACCCGACCATCTGCATCCTGATCTTGGACATCCAGCCTCCAGAACTGTGAGATAATTAACCCTACTTTTGTGACCACATCCAGCCTCAAATGCTGCCTGGGTTTCTCCAGCCAACAGCCCCTTCTCTGCCCTCCACTGAGCTCACAAACACAGCCTTTCTGAGCACAGTGGTGAGGGGCTCCCCCACCTTAGAGGGGGCAAAATCACAGGGAAATGCACTGTTGAGAGCCAGGCTGCTGGGATCCAAATCCCAGGGGGGCACATCCTGCTGTCGGGGCAAGCCCCGAGCCTCTCTGCACCTCCCCTGCCCAAGGTGGGCAATAACTGTCCCGGGCCATTTTAAAGAGGATGCCACCCATTTTAGAGGAAATCAATGAGTCAACACATGACAGGTGCTTTCCACAGTGTCTGGCACATAGTAAGCAAAGCACATGCACTGAGGGGATGTGAGCCAATCGCTGGAGCTT